TGTTCCTCTCGTTGCAGATCCCAGTCCAACAATGAGTCCTTGATGCATTCGGCAGAAAACCAAATTTTGAGGAATGAAAATGCCAGTTGCTCTAATAAACGATCATAATGGATCAATTTTTTTTCACTTGGTGTCAATATAAAAACGTTTGAACCAGTTTTGAGCTGCTTTAATCTGATAGTTGACACGACTGTAATACTTTATATTAAGCTGTTCGTTTTTTTCTGTCGATCTCAATGTAAGTGAAGTAGAACAAACTAGGACAAAATATTTTTTGGCTTTTAATCTTGAAAATAGTAACAGGTTGGCGTTTCATTTTGATTCATGTCTGAAAACTTGATTGTGCTAGACAGTTTAGTATCACAAAAGAAGATTGAGTTGTTTATTTTGCACAAAATTAGTTTTTCTGAAAAAATTTTTTCACTTGAAGAAAATTCAGGTTGAAAATCCCAAAAATTTGAACAACATCTTTAGAACAATTTTTCTTTCATCAAAACAAACTTTTAAGTTTTTTTTTCTCATAGTTAAGAGACTACTTTCTGAGATACCATAGCTGAAACAGTAGTATAAGGGTGAGGGAGAGTGGGGGGGAGTTCTACTACTTGAAACCATCGATGATGTATAAATATAGGGCAAAAAAGAACAAAAAAAAACAATTGAACCTCTGACTTGTAGCTTTTTGTAAGTAATCCAATTTTCGATTATCAAAGAGTTTTTTGAAATGTTTTATGCATTACTGAGAAAGCAGCATAATGTACAAATCTAGTCGATGAATATTGTTCTACGGTTAAGTTGCTGGCTAAAATTCATTAAAGATTGTTCGAACTACAGAGCTATCAAATGATTCTAAAATTAACCAAAAACATAGATAAAGTAAGAGTTTTGTAGGGATGCATGTTCGTCAGTCTAAAAGCATTTACAAACTTGCTTGTTTGTAAAACTGTACGATTTTATTATGGAGTTTCTTGTCTGTTTTAGAAAAAAGTGTGTAAACATGAGTGTACAAAAGTATGATAAAAGTATAATAAATGTGTGTGAAATTGTTTATATGCATACTCGAAAATGGGTATGAGAGGCATGTAATTTTGAAAGTATTTCAGTTCGAATGAATGCATTTATTTAATGCGTGTTTCAAAACCTGTTTTAGCGTATAATTGTCTTGAAAATGTGAACTAGATATACGTTGGTTTGTCTATTTTCCTATGCTTGTATGAAAGAGGTCAGTAAAAATATTAAACAAAATTTTTACATTTGTTCAAGTTTATATTTATTGCATAATAGATTGTAGAATCATATTTATGCAAGCAAGTACTTATAACTTATCCTTCTGTTTGTATGTATCCCCATACTTTTGTAAGTATGGTAGTTTGGTTGTTTTCCACTAAAATTAAAAAGTCTTGTACTTTTGTACATGTCTATGTAAGTATGTATAGAATTTTTTATTGTACGCAAGTATAAACTTACGAATGTTTATGTTTTTATATGTGTATTTGCTTGAATTTCTTTGTAAATGTATATGTGTATGTAAGTAATTATAGAATTTTTATTGTACTTAACTATAAATTAAACAATGTTTATGTTTTTGTATGTATGTTTGTTTGAATACCTTTATGTTATTATTTTTATGTGTATGTATGTATGTATGCGAATATGCATGTTTGTATGTATGTATGTATGTATGTATGTATGTTTGTATGTATGTGTGTATGTAAGTATGTATATATATATATATATGTATGTATATATTTATGTTTGTATGTATGATTGTAAATTTTTATATAATTTGAATGGATATCTTTTTGTAAGTAATTAAATGTGTAGGTATGCATGTATTTCTGTACAAGTGTATGTATGTATGATTGTATGTCTGTATTTTTTTAAGTATACATATAATTTCATAACTTATGCAATCAAAAAGATCCATAATATAATGGTATATAGGAAGAAATTTTTTTTTGGAGTGTCTTTGTACGTTTGAGTCAAAAAACGGTTTATTTGCTGCCAAATCACTTTATTTGAAATTTTTTTATCTGTAGATCAATCAAAACCATTTTATCTTTAAAGTAACTAATCAGATACTATAGAAAGTACAGAAAGTATAGAAAGTATAGAAACTTGCATTTACTTGATTTGCACAAGCAACTTGATAATTTCGAGTTATCAAATTTCTTGATTTTCCAGGTGTAATACTTACAAAAATTCAATTTGAAGAAGTCGCATATCAAGCATCGATTTCAAGTTAAATTTACGTGCAGTCATTGTCTACAGAAAATGTGCAAAAAAAAGCGTAGAAGGAAAGATAAAATTTCAATTTTTCACGAAAGTTTGTCAATGAAAGCAGCAAACAACAAAAGACCAATTGGCAGCAAAATGGAGCGCGAAGTGTTTGATGAATTGTTGCTGATAGAGATAATGGCTACGATAATCAAATATTTAGAGGAAAATTATAGTAACATGAAGAGAACCGTTGTTGACCGTGCAGTTGAACGAGATCCATAGACGAATGGTAGAAGATCACATGCTGCTGGCAGAGCTGAAGACTGTATGTGAGCAATATAGAAATGACAGGTGTTTTGTATTCGAAGTATATTTGATCAATCTCTAAAAAGCA